TCTTTCTTTCTTCTTCTTTCTTCTTTCTTCTTCTTTCTTCTTTCTTCTTCTTTCTTCTTCTTTCTTCTTTCTTTCTTTCTTCTTCTTTCTTCTTTCTTCTTCTTCTTCTTCTTTCTTCTTCTTTCTTCTTCTTTCTTCTTCTTTCTTCTTCTTTCTTCTTCTTTCTTCTTCCTTCTTCTTCTTTCTTCTTCCTTCTTCTTCTTTCTTCTTCCTTCTTCTTTCTTCCTCCTTCTTCTTTCTTCTTCCTTCTTCTTTCTTCTTCCTTCTTCTTTCTTCTTCCTTCTTCTTTCTTCTTCTTTCTTCTTCTTTCTTCTTTCGTCTTCTTTCTTCTTCTTTTCTTCTTCTTTCTTCTTTCTTCTTCTTTCTTCTTCTTTCTTCTTTCTTCTTCTTTCTTCTTTCTTCTTTCTTCTCTTCTTTCTTCTTTCTTCTTCTTTCTTCTTTCCTTCTTTCTTTCTTCTTTCTTCTTTCTTCTTTCTTCTTTCTTTCTTCTTCCTTCTTGTTCTTCTTTCTTTCTCTTATCTTTCTTTTCTTTTCTTCTTTCTTCTTCTTCTTTCTTCTTTCTTCTTTCTTCTTCTTTCTTCTTCTTCTTTCTTCTTCTTTCTTCTTCTTCTTTCTTCTTTTCTTTCTTCTTCCTTTCTTCTTTCTTCTTCTTTCTTCTTCTTCTTTCTTCTTCTTTCTTCTTCTTTTCTTTCTTCTTTCTTCTTTTCTTCTTTCTTTTCTTCTTTCTTTTCTTTCTTCTTTTCTTTCTTCTTTTCTTTCTTCTTTTCTTTCTTCTTTTCTTTCTTCTTTTCTTTCTTCTTTTCTTTCTTCTTTTCTTTCTTTCTTTCTTCTTTTCTTTCTTCTTTTCTTTCTTTCTTTCTTTCTTTCTTCTTTCTTCTTTCTTCTTCTTTCTTCTTTCTTCTTCTTTCTTCTTTCTTCTTCTTTCTTCTTTCTTCTTCTTTCTTCTTTCTTCTTCTTTCTTCTTTCTTCTTCTTTCTTCTTTCTTCTTCTTTCTTCTTTCTTCTTTCTTCTTTCTTCTTCTTTCTCTTCTTCTTCTTTCTTCTTCTTTCTTCTTTCTTCTTTCTTCTTCTTTCTTCTTCCTTCTTCTTTCTTCTTCTTTCTTTCTTCTTTTCTTTCTTCTTCCTTCTTCTTTCTTCTTCTTTCTTCTTTCTTCTTCTTTCGTCTTTCTTCCTTCTTCCTTCTTCTTCCTTCTTCTTCCTTCTTCCAAAGCCTTCAGCAACCTTTAAGATTGCCACGGCAAGTAAGAACCCTGCTCTGTAATGCTGCTGCTAACAGCAGAGGGCATCCCAGAGGTGTCCACTTATCCCGGTGGATATAGATAGATAGATAGATAGATAGATAGATAGATAGATAGATAGATAGATAGATAGATAGATAGATAGATAGATAGATAGATAGGTAGGTAGGTAGGTAGGTAGGTAGGTAGGTAGGTAGGTAGGTAGGTAGATAGAGAGAGAGAGAGAGAGAGAGAGAGAGAGAGGGAGGGAGGGAGGGGGGAGGGAGAGAGAGAGAGAGAGAGAGAGAGAGAGTTATACACTCTAAGGACTAGTTTATTGCATTAACTATACATATGCTGCAGTTTCTTTCATTAACACTCTAAGTACTTACATCATCAAAAGTTTGTGGGCATAGGCACCGAATATTTTAACACATTATTTCCCAAACAACGCACCTTACGTTAATTTGTCATTTCAAAGATAATATGTGTCAGCTGTCTTCTGTCACATACAGTTGCTATGTTAATCCCTTGTCTCTTAGCTATTACTTTAGCTATTTATGTCATGTAATATATC